GAAAGGAAAAAAGATCAAAGAACAGATGGAACATATAGAAAACAAAGAGCAAGATGTAGACTCACATCCAATCATATCAATAACTACATTAAATAGAAGTAGACCAAATGCTCCATTGAAAAGACAGAAATTGCCAGACAAGATAAACAGGAAGACCGAATGGACCACAAAATACTCATTTAAGAGATTTATCATTAAGTGTAAAGACACAGATGGGTTAAAAGAAGGAAGGAAGGGAAAAGATAAAGCAGGCAAACACTAGTCCTAAGAAAGCTGGTATGGCTGAGCAGTTACTTAGTAACAGGACAAGTGGTATTACTGGAATGAAAGAGAAATATTCATAATGACCAAAGGGTCAATCAAAATGACAATCAAAAATGATTATGAGCCAAATGGCAGAGCTTCAGACAAACTGACAGTTGTCTGAAAACTGACTACATTGTCGGAGATTTCCACGTCCCTCTTTCAACACCTGCTAGAACAAATGGATAAAAAATCCAGTAAGGTAGAAGAGGACTTCCCGAGTGATCAATGAACTGGATCTGACTTACATTTATGGAACATTACACCGGCAATTGCAGAATGCTGGTTCTTTTTACACATACCCATGAGACTATTCACCAAGACACACCGTCCGTTGAGCCATAAAACGAGTCTTAAAACTTTGAAAAGAATGGACATGAAGAAAAAATTTCAAAAAGATCAGACGGAAGTTTTTTCACCCCCAGCCCAGAACCCTGGCCAAGACAGAAACATTTCCTCTGTTGTCCTTTGCCAGAAGTTGAAATTTTCTGGTTTATTCTTTTCCTGAGAGTGTAGCCCTTCCTATGTCTGCTTTTTTCCCTGGAGATCTTGGTCCCAAATCCCCACCTCACACAAAAACCTTGTCTTTTGCCTCGTAGAGCTGCAAAATACTGAGCCTCTTTGTTACTGAGACGGACAAACGTCCACGTGTCACCTGGAACTTTTATGCCTTTGCGAGGTTCCGGTTTCCAACTCTCCTTTCGTTTTTGGCCCGTTTTGCCTTGGGATTCTGCATGCTCAGCTAGCATTTCGAATATGTTTGTTACATTTTGCTCAGCATTTTATGGGTTTTGTGGCCAGACGGTTCTCAGATTATCTAGTATCCTTGTTTCTGGAGACTGAAACCTGTCATATAATCCTTTAGTTATTTTATGGGCTTAAGTTACCTCGGCCTTAATCAAAAAGTCCCCTCATTTAAAGCCAGACAGCCTTGGGTTTGAATTCCATCTCGACTAAGTGATGGAACTTCTCCGAGTCCATTTCTCCATGAGTGTTAGGGATGTCATAATGCCAGGTTTTCAACTTTGTTGTAAAGATGATCTCTGCTCTCATGCAATGAGAAGCACTATCACGAAAACATAACGTTATCATTGTTCATTCACCAAATAGTGTTTGCTCTGTGGCAGGCACACCTTCTAAGTGGTAGGAGTTAACAGCCAGTAAATACATAAACAAATAGTTTCCCAGAAGTTTAAGTCCAACCACAAGGGTAATGGGACTGAGAATGTCCGAGACAGGGCAGGCTGTTTTGATCAGGCAGTGGGGGGATTCCTATTTGAGGGCATGACATTTGATTTAGAATCTGAATAAACACAAACATTTTAAAAGTCAGATGTGATGGTAGCATGACTCTGGGAACACAGAAGAAAGCACTACATTGCACACTTTAAGTGGGTGAATTGTATGATGTGTGAATCATCTCAGTGAAGCTGCCTTTTTTTTTTTTTTTTTAATCTGAGTGAAGAAGAGAGAGCCAGGTGAGGAACATTCTAGCCGGAGGGAATACCAGGTACAGAGACCCCTGAGGCTGGAAGGGGTTTTTGTCAGTGTGAGGAAAAGAAAGAGCAGGTGGTGGGAGTCCAGTGAAGGAGAGACAGAAGACGGTTGAGATCTAGACCTCCAGAGGGGGGCCAGACCATGTAGGGCCTTGGGGGCCATGTTAAATATTTGGGATTGTATCCAAATCGCAATGGGTGGCTTTTGAAAGAATTTAACTGGAGAAGTGATAACTGGTTTATGCTTTGGAACAATCACTGTACTCTCTGGCAAGGGAATTTATAAGGGGGCAAAGGTGTAAGCGAAGAGAACAGCAAAGGGGATGCTCCAGGACAGTGAGAATGAAGGTCCTAGATATTCCAATTTTGACTTAGCCTTCAGTTCCCTCAAACTCAACCTTATTGGTCATGTAAAATTATTCTGAGAGCAGAGATGTGACTAAAAAGGGACCCACAACAGAGGGACCCATGAGAAGTAGAGAACTCATGCTCCTTCACTATCCACAAAGGAGAAAGATGAGCATAGGATCCTGAAGTTGACCTTGCCATTGATTTATAGTAACCTGGATTATTCCTATGGGAAGGTTTCTGGATTTTCAGCCGACCTATCCTGAGCCTCAGTTCACCCATCTTTTCCCATTGCCACCACTGCTCAGAACCATTTGGAACCACCTCTGTCTCTCTTCCATTTAAGAACTCAGTCACAATTTGATATCTAGAACCCACAAGTAGGAAAATATATAGCAGACATTAATCTGTAAGTTCTATAGATCAGGCAACGGTGATGCTCTATGTCCATAATTAGAAGCATGGCCTTTGTAGTCTGACAAAATTGGTTGTATTTTTTTTAAAGATTTATTTATTTGACAGAGAGATAGAGGGAGAGCACAAGTAGGTAGAGCGGCAGGCAGAGGGAGAGGGAGAAGCAGACTCCCTGCCGAGCAGGGAGCCCGACATGGGGCTCGATCCCAGGACCCCGGGATCATGACCTGAGCCAAAGGCAGCCGCTTAACCGACTGAGCCAGCCAGGTGCCCCCAAAATTAGTTTTAATTCCAAGCTCTGCCATTTAATGAGTGACTTAAGGATAGTTCTAAATTTTGTTCAGTAAAACCAGGGACACCAGGACCTATGTTTCATTAAGTCTTTAAATGAATTGATACTTGTAAATCATTTAGCACAATGCCTAATACATGGTAAGCACTCCAGATTGATTGGTGGCCACTGTTGTTATTGTTGTTACTTATTACAATAATTAGTAAGTCTTACTTTTACAAAGGGAAAAATAAATATTTTTTAAAAGATGAAATGTACTTACCTTTTGGTGGGGGGAAGGGCAAAGGGACAGGGAAAGAGAATCTTAAGTGGCCTCCACACCCAGCGCAGAGCCCAAATGGGGCTTGATCCCATGAGCCTGAGATCATGACCTGAGCTGAAATCAAGAATCAGCTGCTTAACCGACTGAGCCACTCAAGTGTACTTACTTTTATTTTTTAAAAAGATTTTATTTATTTATTTGAGAGAGAGAGAGAAAGCACAAGCAGGGGGAGGGGAAGAGGGAGAGGGAGAAGCAGACTCCTCGTGGAGCAGGGAGCCTGATGCGGGGCTCGATCCCAGGACCCTGAGATCATGACTTGAGCCGAAGGCAGATGCTTAACCGACTGAGCCACCCAGGCGCCCCTGTACTTACCTTTAAAAGACACGAACTTTGGAACCATGATTTTTCTGTTTATTCTTTTCTTTTTTTATCTTTTCTAATGTACATAGATTCTTTTAAAAGCATGAGAAGAACATGATAAGGTTCACATGCTAGAAAAATAGCAAGCTGGTGTCCTAGTGTATGGGAGACAGCGTGTCAGAGGACGCTGCTCCTTACGCACACACTCTGGAAGTTTATCGATTACCTGGAAACAAGTGCTACATTAAATGGACTAAAAGGGCCACAAGCTCTTCAGGTTATTAGCCTCTTTACTCAAGTTTGTGAGGTGTATATTGGGTATGTATCAAGAACTTTGTGAGGGCCTTCACCTCTATCAGATCACAAGCAGCACTGATTTAACACGTTGGTGTAACACTTTAACAACAAAAAAATTGAAGTTTATCCAAGAGAACGGAAATGGGGGGAAAAAAAGATTCTAAATATGTCTCCTTTCTTAGGGGATGGTTTCTGACTGGTGACTTTTTATCCTCTTTGGCGATGGCTATATACAAACAAATACACAAGGATTTTTTTTAAAAAAATTTATTATTTTATTTTAGAGAGAGAGCACATGAGCAGTGGGACGGGCAGAGGGAGAGGGAGAATCTCAGGCAAACTGTGCCGAACACGGAACCCAACCTGGGGCTCGATCTCATGACCCTGAGATCATGACCTGAGCCAAAATCAAGAGTTGGAAGTTTAACCGACTGAGCCACCCGGGCGCCCCCACACAAGGATTTTTGTGGTAGGGAGCCCACCTGTCCACCCCGCCCGCCGTGCCAATTACCCACGTTGCATCTGCAATAGCGTGAAGAGGAGAGTTCCCCGGTCTGGGAACCTGGTGTCTGCAATGCTGTGCAGTGTCCACAGTAGCCCACAGGAATTCTAAAAGGGAGGCGGTCTCTTTTATACACCCGTGGTAGGTACCACTGCTCGCAATCACAGCCAGCCTTCCAAAACTCTAGAAACAGTGGCAGAGGAGTATGAAATACACATAATGCTAGCGCTTTGGTCCATAAGCATGCAGCACGTCATTATCCTGGAGCAGGACTGTTCTGATTGAAATTTTTATGGTTTAGAGGACTTAGGATCTAGTATTTCTCATTTCAAAGAATAACTTATTTTTTTTTTCCGAACGATTCTAGGAAACCACAGTGCATTGAGCTGATTTAATGAAATTTAATTCCTTACTTCAAGTTCTCAGAGGAGAAAAGCCTCTTTGAAGGAAATCTAAAGGAGAGGCCTAGGCTATAGGGATCCCGATGATCGTGACTGTGTTATCACACACAGCCCCACCAGCCGAAAGTCAACTGCCTTAAGAATACTAACTATTGCAACTTTGGCTAAAATTTGAGTTTTTCATTAGAGTAACACCATGCCTGACATTTCATAAAGCTTAAATGCAAACAAGAATGATTAATCACAGTCATAAATATGCAAACACACTCAAACCACGGTATTAAAAAGGTAATATTACCTTTGAGACAAAATGGCAAAACCAGAATTTTTTAATTGCCAAGAATTTTATGTGGCAAGTTTGTTTATTCAAGTAACATAATAAAATAGGAATATTGCACTGGCAGAAGTGGACTTAAGGAGCATAAGATACTATTTTAAAATGGGAAAACAAGGGGATCGTTTTCAAGAGCCTCATAGAAAACTTCCAATTTACAATGCTACTTTTTCATAATTAATAGTAGTAATACGTAGCTTTTCTATGATAAAAAGCAATCAGGGTACCTGAGTAGTACATCCATTCCGCTGCATATGCAGACACTATTATAGAGAGGTACTTTTCTAATTACTTAAGCAACTGTTTTCAGCTTTAAGACATAGAAAAAGCAAACAATCCTATACACTGACGGATAACACATTTTAGTACGCAATTTCCAAATTCACTCATTAAATTAGAACACTCACAGCCTAATGTGTAAAACTAGTTTGAAATGATGACTCACCTCTCGTGACACTTCCCACCTTCACAAATGGCTTTAAAAAATGAGTTTGGGGGTAAATCGGCAATATATTCAGAAACACAGCCAAGACAAAGAGATCAAATTCAAAGACGGAATTCAGAAATGAACCAGCTATTTTTTGTACATTATATTATAGAAATTGGTTCTTTGTTCAAAATTTCAAACGTGGGCGACATTAACAATAGGTATGATGCGTGACATCCAATAAAAATGGCACTTGGGGGAAATTATTGCCTCCCCTGAAGGATAGATGTCATTGCTAGGGGGTTGCCAGGGGGTTAAGTTGCTGCCTCCCCTAAATAAGTAGGTTTTTGTTTTTGGATTCCCTAGCTTTCGATACTTTGGAACCTTTTGTGTTTTCCCTGTAGATATCTCAGGCGAGCTCTAAAATCTGAGAGGACGCTTAACAAAATAAAACTCCCACTTGGATGGTAAAATGCGTTAATTCTAATACTCTGTAATAAATGGAGCGAATCTGACCCAGTTAGTGGGTAAGCCCTACATTCTGAACCATCCAACTTAGACTAGATTCTGTGGCATGTGATTCATGTTCTCATCAGGCAGTCAAGGTTACCTGCAATAAGGCAATTCCCACTTAGCCTTTGGCCATAGCCTTGCTCTTTAACACAAAATTCTAAACTGTAGATCATGCACAACTATATAATTTCCTTAGCAGGTGGGTAAGAGGAAATCTGCAATAAAGAGAATATGAGCTCTAAGAAGTCTCATCGAATTAATGGGAGCTCTCCCTTCCAATCCATCATATTCAGTGATCCAAGAAACTGAACCAGAAATGAAATAATACATCTGTGAAGTTAGAGGCATAAAATCCTGCAATGTTCTTATTTCCCGAATGGGAAGGGATTCGAGATAACACTATTACTTCACGTCTTTAGAGGGAAGTAGATTAAAAAGTGTTTGCACTTTTTAAAACTCTTTGCAGCATTGATTAATGCTCATTGGTAAATAAGTGAGACCATTTCATTCATTTGCATTTGCAAATTAAACTGGAAAATCCATAAAAACATATTTATCACCAGGAAACTAATCGGTACAGCACAATATAACATCAAAGAAAGGGAATATTAATAATATACATATGTGGATAAAAGCATTTTAATAAGAAAATCTATTATTTTTATTTTAAAAAAAGCTCTCCATTTTAAACATCATCATTACTCAGAAATCATTTTGAAAACAACTATCAACAAATCCTTTTGCAATTTCAGGTAAAAGCCTTCCCTTATTGCGAATATTTGCTTTCAGTCATCTTTTTTGTCTGAGGTACTCTCGTCATGATTTTCAGGGCTGACTTTGTTACTGGCGACCAGGGGAGCTGGCTGGACTTCATTTGGTAATGAGAACACATGGCACGTCTGGAAGTCTAGGTAGGTCGTAAATATTTTAGCATATTCTGGATGCTTTAGGGCAAAACTTTTAAATTCCTCTAAAAGGGGGAAAAAACAAACAAACAAAATCCAGTAAATGGAGGCGAATCTTCTTTTGGCATGATACAGATTCCTATGTGACTTTAATAATACAATTATTGCCAAAGCCTCTTACTCCACTCTTAGAAATTGTCCAGCCACTTTGCAAGATGGATTTTCCATTATCAAGTAAAGCTGAGGATTCACATACTCCGTGACCCGTTAATTCTATTCTTAAGTGTATAACCTGGAGACACGTGGGCCTGCTGTGTTCTGGGGGACATGCCTGAGAATGTTCACAGCCACATTACTTATGACAGGTGAGAAATGGAAACCACTCAGGTGTGTGTCAACAGCAGAAATGGAGACTTGCAGCATTTTGGTGGGACATAACGGCTCCATAGCAATGAAGATGAAGGAACAGCTGTGTTGTAACACTGTGGACGAATCTTAAAGCCATAATGTTGAATGAAAACAGCCAGATACAAAACAACGTATACTGTAGGAGTCCATTATATGAAGTTCAAAAACTCAGGCAAAACTCACACATAATATTTAAATATTTTGTGGTGACATGCTAAAAAGTAAAGCAAGGTAGAGTATTCCTTTTAGAGTCAGGGCAGCCATGCCCCCGCCTTTAGGAGAGAGGAAGGGGCTGTCACTGGGAAAGGGCGCACAGGGGTTTCCAGAGTTCTTGAAAAGCTCTATTTCTTGGCCTGAGCAGTCGTAACACCACCGCTCACTTTAGGAAACCTTGTTACGCTCTACGTTTGTTTCATTCAGTTTTCTGTATTGCTGTTAGTTTTTATACTACAAAATGTTTTAAAAATGCTATTGCCCATGACTTTCTATTACTGTTTTTTTAAAAACGATTTCAACCCTTAATTCTGGTATACAAACACACAGTCTTGAAAAGCTGAGCCCCGACTTATGACCAATAAAGGCAAGTAGAGGGTACCATATATCATAATCATGTCCCAAGACTTCGGAGTAGTGGGCCTCTTTCTATCTTGGGTGTTTCGGATTTAGGAACTGAGGTAAAGATACAGAAGGCTAACTGAGTTAACCAGCAGAGTTTGGACGCCAGGCCTCCGATAACCCGGAGTTTCTGAAATGTACTGCTCCTCCACTCTGAAATCCCTCTCTCCTCTTCTGTTCGGATGGAGAAAACTTTGTTGCACTTACATAGCAAAAGGAGCCTAGACTTTGAATCTGCAACCTATCTGGCTCTATAAGAAAAGGATTTTTAGCCCCATGTTCTCTATTTGTTTTTTTTAAATCCTCTGATAACCCAGAGTCTACGTTAGACTAACAACTCTTGAAGGCAGAAACAGGTGTCAGGGACGAGGAAGCCACTGGACCGAGCCCAAATCATTCTTTGCAACTGCAACATTATTTTGCATCAATTGACCATTTTATGTTTCCAAATCAGGCAAGCTATTAACATGGTCTTTAGGTATTTTTTCTTAACATCCAAAATAAAGGTTCATCTGCATGAGTCTGTCTCAGGGATGGAGGCACAGAGGACTTAAGTGACTTTTATGGAAAGTAGACATGAGAGTTGATCTGCTGAAACCAAGGTCTGTCTTTCAAGACTTGTGATCTGTTCAAAAGATCGAGGTTTCTGTCTTTTTTGGGGATGTCAGTACCATTAAGAAGTAATTCATTTCCAAAAAAAAAAAAAAAAGGTAACTCATTTCTAGAAGAAGTTCTGTGAACTGCCTAATCTGTGGAATTGTGGAAATCAGTTAATTTGGCTAAATGGAAAACTGAGAAGGAAAACAATTTAGATGGTCACATTATGATACATTTCAATATTTATTCTTTTATAAAATCATACTTAAATACCTCCCAACATTCCTGCAAAAAAGGAAACTAGCATAGTATCAGGGAAAGGGAGATATCTTGTATATTCTAAAAATAAAAAGATTGAACTCCAAAAAACAAAGCAGATTTCCCTAAAAATTTGTTTAAATGGACAGGTAAAGTTATGCCTGCCTAACAAATCATTTGTGGTATAATTTCCACTGAAATAGTTACTCCACATAATTATTCCAAATTTGGCAGCTCAGAGCAATAAAGAGTCTTACTTGTGAAAGGAAAATGTTCAGAGACTTAGTACACATGGGGTTTATGACTCATATATTTTATCTCAGTATGTACTTGCCATTTTCCCTCCCTCCCTCCCTCCCTCCCTCTCTCCCTTCCTTCCTTCCTCCCTTCCTTCCTTCCTTCCTTCTTTCCTTCCTTCCTTCCATGAACTCAATAAAGTAAGTGCCCTAGGCATTTAATTACCTAAAATAGAATAAAGGGCAGGCAGAATGATAGTAATTAAAAACAGAGAGTAAGAGAAGTATGTGATCTAATTCTCCTATCCCATGAAAGTTAACAGCTGAAACTCTCTAAACACCATGAGGAAAGAGGCATTCCAGAGGAATCCCCCTGCAGCCTGCAAGGGGGAAAAGGCTGGGGGGAGAGAAGCCAACCTGACGTGAATGACCACATCAAAGCTAAGACAGGGAAACCGTTACCTAGGCCTCTCCACTCAGGTGTGATTTTTCTCAACGACTGTACTAGGAAATACAAGGAAACTGATGTGGGACTTGTTTTGATGTGTGGACTCAGGCCATCTGGAGAAAGCTTGGTCCCTGATGGATAGACCTGCCATTTGACCGTGGGGTCTTCTTCCGCCACGATGGTCCTGACCTCACAGGGGTGCTATCCAAGGGACAGGAGAAAATGAGCCCACATGAAAGCTTTCCTAAGCTGCTAACGGCAAACGTGATGACAGATGGTTTAGCTGCTGTAGTTACTGTTGGAACCCCAGTCTGTATCCCTCTAGCAGAGTTACAACCACTTTAGTTAACTTGCTCAGTTTTGCTTGGCCAAAGTGACAGCAGAAAGGAAAAGACCCTTCCAGGAAGGGCAGCAGATGAGAGATAAAGTGCGGAGGGCAGAGGTCCAGGCTCCAAAACCAGACTCTCTTGGTTTTTGAGTCCTGGCTCTGACATTCTCTAGCTGATGACCTCAGGTAAGTTAAATTCCATAAATTCAATAAAATAATATTAAGAGTGCTGATGAAATAGGCTTGCTGTAAAGATTTATTTAAAAATGCTTAGAAGAGTACTTAGCATATATGTCCTCAGTAATTAGTCTCTCTTATCCCACTACTGCTATTATTCCTGTCATCATCATCATTCCTGTTATTTCTATTGTTAATACAATTAGTGGAGGGAAACCACACTCCTGCCTGACGGTCCATCTGTAGTCGGGTTGCCCTCCTGGTCAACTAAAGCAGAAACCAAACTGCCTACTCACCATAGGAAACAGAATCCCCCTGGGCTATCTCCTTGAAGAGACCAGAAACATCCAGGTCGGGCACCCCAAGGGCGGCCTGCAAAATGGTGGTAAACTCTTCCTCTGTTATGTAGCCATCCTCATCAAGATCAAAGAGCTGAAGGGAAGAGAAAATAAAATATAAGGTTGAGTGCCAGCAGGGCAACAGTGGTACGGAATAATCTCGGAAAATAAACTCTAGTAATTCACACAACTATTGGGCCGGGGTGAGGGAGATGTATCTGAAGGAAGAATGGTCTCTGCTGCCCTCGCGACACCTGGCTTGGTCGTGGGACGAGACAGAAGGAAAGCACGGGCTACAACAAGAGTAAGACCAAAGGGCGTGGGAGCCCTGTGGAGAGCAAGATGAATCCTATGGGAGAGGTCAGGGAAAGCTTTACCCGTTTGACAGGTTGAGTTGGGTCTTAGAACACAAAGGGATACTCCTGGGACAGACGAGGACTGGTAGTGTTTGCTGGGGGCTCAGACCAGGTGACGGACGAACAAGCAGGAATCACGCCATGAAGGCTGTAGGACGCCTCACCTCACCCTGTGGGGTTATGACAGCGGGGGATGTGGTGTGATCATACGGGAATTGGGAGTGTGGAGGTGGATCAGAGTCAGAAGGTTGGAAAGTCTAGAGGCGGGAAAAGCAATGAAGAGTGTGGGGTGGAGAAGCAAGAAGGACAGGAAGGGGCAGAATTTACGAGGAAGCGAAGGCAGGGCCCTGTGGGGATGGCAAGAAGGACGGAAGAGTGGGCTGAGGTGCTCTAGCTTGGACACCTGGGGGAAAGTGGGGTCCATTCCCCAGAGGGGGAGATCAAAAGCTGGACCTGGAGAGGTTAGACATGAGTCAGAGGTGCCGGGGGAGTTACGAGACGCAGCACCTCAGCTCAGGAGACTGGTCGAGGCTCGAGCCATGACTTCTGGTAAGAACCGCCAACTCTGGGGGGGTTGGGGCTTATCTGCAGAGAATGCACAAAGTGATGCAAAGCCCGGGGAGCAGCAAGAGTTCAAGTGCATGCAGGGAAGAGGAGCTGGCAAAAAAAGGACTCAGAAGTCCTCAGAGAGAACCGGAAATGAGGAGCGTGCCACTGGGAGCTCAGGAGGGCTTTCTGGAAAGAGGGAGACACTCTGAGGGTGGTAGCAGCCCACTGAGTAAAACACCAGAGCGAGGCCAGGCGAGAAGCAAAGAGGGTGGCTGGGTTTGGCAGTTAGGAGATCCGGATGCCTTTGGGAAACACGGCTTCAGGGAGCCACTTCCCAGGTGGTCATGGAAAGCCAGGAACGAAGAGGTGAGCGGTGGAGACAACCAGCATGGGCTCCTGGAATAACAGGAAGGAGGGAAATGGGGCATCGGCCAAGCACAAAAGGAGGCTGTCTTTAGGAAGGGAGAGTCTGAACATGTTTATAGGCCGAAAGGAAAAGGCGGTAGGTGGGACGGATTGAAAGTCAAGCAGCAAAACAGTGATAGTTGTTAGATAATTAATATCCCCAATTCAAAATCTTCTCCTGGGCACTAATGTTTTTATTTTATTTTATTTTATTTTTATTTTTATTTTT